GAAAAAAATTGCACAGCTGAGATGCCACCAGCACAGCTAAGAAGCACAGGCTTGTACCTACTGCTGTAAAATTAAAGAATATTCATTTACTATTGAGAATACCATGACAAAATGATGCATAGGGAATCACTGAGTTATCGGGAGTGAAGCTAAGGCTTGCGGCACGAAGCAAGGACAGCAGAGCTCCTGGAAAGGTATGTCCTACATTATGTGGACAGCCCTCAAATACACAGTCCCTCTTTAGGCAAAGGAGGCCCAGAAACAATGAAATATAGCTTTGAAGAGCAGTTTCCATTAGAGGAGAGGTGATAGCACCCAGCACAAGAGCAAATGCTCCCACCTCTTTTAAGGCTTAAAACAGAAACAGCAGGAGTTTCTCAACCTCTTTAGACTCAAGCCCTCCTGCCTCAGAAAATGCCAGTTCTTAGCTTTCGTTTCGTTTTTGAGCGCAGAAAAAGAAGAGAGAAAGTTGTGTGTTGCAAAGAACTTCAGAAAGACCACAGCAGGTCAGAACATTTTGGTCACTGTAGATTCCTAATTGAGAGCTCTGGGTTTGTCTTGTGAATCACGTGCAGATGTTTGCACACCCAACAGTGCTAATATTGTACAGCACCTTTAAAAGGATCTTGCAGCACCAATTTCAGCCCCAGCATAGTCCAACTGTGTCCAGGCCGGAGGGATTAGCTGCCACATCTCAACTGTAGTAATCCTGATTCAGCTTTTAGCTCCAGGAGGAAGATTTCATTTCTCTACTGGGAGCTGGTCAGCTTACAGCTGCCTTCACTTCATATGCCTTCTAGTCTTAATGAGCATCAGCTGAGGGTTATGCTAGGATTAGCAGCCTCTGCAATCTACCTACTGCTGGGTAGGTTCCTCTTTCTGCCCTTGCCTGTCTAGGGTATTTCTTTTAGTGCTATGCTTCCTTTTTCTTTCTTTTTTTTTTTTTTTTAAAGAAAGCCTTTGGTTAAAATTACTTGTCTCTCTCACAAGTGCTGTAAACATGGTAATCAGATGTGGAAAGCTTTCTTGGCGATAGGTCAGTAGCTGTCTTTACACAGTTAGCAAATTCTCTGCATTTTTTCTGTTGATTCCTTATTGCCCTTCCTTCATAATTTATCTTGGGAAAGGGTGAATCCAACTGTACCGGAGTTGGAAAATGTAGATGAGTGTTTAGGGAAACACTGCATTAGACATGGGATCCAGAAGGGTCTCTAGAATGTTATAAGGTTTACTTTCAGGGGAGAACCAACAAAGGATTGATGTGCCTACATTCGCTCTTGGTCCAAAACTGTGATCCTGAAACCCTTGCAGAGGTTCCACCTAACCTTGGAGCTGCCTAAATGCCATAAGTGTTTGTTTCAAGTTTTCCAGCTGCCTAGAGCTGCACTTCACAGCATGTCCACAACTACTCCAGTCTTGACAGGGTTGAGCAGCTCTGCATTTAGTTTTTGCCTAAGCCCAATCAGGATACAGAAATCTCTGCATTCCTCTTCCTTAGCTCCCTTATGGTGGCGTATCATTGGGCATTCCCAGAGCATTCATGACAGACACAGAAGGGATCAGGCTTCTCACAAAATGCCAGGATGACTGCTTACTCTTAAAACATGGCTGGAGATAGTTGTGCCTCCCCTTTTATACATCAGCCTAGTGGCTGGAGCACTTGCCCAGGTTGTGGAGCATTCCCTTCCTCTGCAAGGATTTAAACCCTATACTTTCCACCTCCCAGAAGAGCGCCCTACTTGCTGTTGTGGGATTAGGGGGCTACCTGTTGGTCCATATTTGAGGAATTTGTGTAGGAGTTAGACACAAACTAATGTACTACCCTACTGTATGGAGTCCCATTAAGGCACCTTCTCATCAGAACAACAGAGTAGCTGGAAGGAAACTTAGAGAAGAAAGACATCATTAGGCTGGAGAGTTTAACTGGCTAGACAATGAATGATGGGATGGAAGCCATGTACTTTTCTAATTTAAACGTGGAGGGTATGAATGTTAGTGTGTGCATATGTGTAATTATTTGGAGTGGCTACAAAGAGGATGTAGTTAGGCATGATGAGATTTAACAAGAAGGGACATTTAACTGATTTGGTGTTGGGATGCAGAGTGATCTGTCAAGCAAAGTGGTTGAAGCCCCTTTACTTGGGACATGGAAAACTTAAAGGCAACCAAATAGGAGAAGAGTGTTCTAGTACACTGGATCCTGTGACCAGTCAGCCCTTTTCTGTCAAGAAGTTGTAGCACTCGTGCTTGTGTGATGTGGTTTATTGACAACACTAGCACTAGAAGGTGTGACTGAGGGCAGGAAAATGCAAGAAAGAGAGGGAGACCTAAAGACCATTTTGCAACTTAACTACAAAAAATACTTATTTAAACATATTAAGACAATAATAATCCATTAACTAAAGAATCTTCCTCCACAAAGGTTCCTGTGCACGTGTCTTATTTGGGACTGGAGAATCTGGGTAGAGGGGTAACTATCTTGCCTCCTTGAAGAAAAGACATGGAAGCACTTGAAAGTTGACTGTCTCTTCCCTTTCTCCCCATTTTGTAGGTATTTCATTTCTCATAAACCAAACAAGACCTGGCAACAAGTGTTCTGGTTTGCTGTCAGCATTGCCATAAACAATGCCTACATCCTCTACAAAATGTCAGATGCCTATCACGTGACAAGGTACAGCCGGGCACAGTTCAGTGAGAGACTTATAAAGGAGCTGTTGGGCTTGGAGGACACTTCACCTTCTCATTGATGCATTGTTCCTTGTGGCTTAGGTAGGGATGGAGGGTAAGCAGAAGAGGAGACCATCATTCTGGAATGTCAAAGCAGGGAACTTGTGACACCACCAATGCTGCTCCCTATGTGAAAATGCCAAGTGATGCCACTAGAAGGGTGGAGACTGTTAAAATTAGCAGCTGGCTTTAGAGGTGTCCTACAGAAAGTGCCACAGGAAACATCCACACATAATTACATATGAATGCTCTGCGGGTATCTGTACATCAGAATTGATTTTAAGTTAGCAATTTCTCAGTAGCACTTGTTGAACAGATAACATCTGTTGAGCAGGGTCATCTCATTAAGATTCCCTTTGGGCTAAACTAGGAGGTTGTCACAAGCTGGTAGAGTTCAACAGTCCTCATGGGGAATTAACTTGCTTGGAGGTCTTTTAACTCTGAGACCACCAAGGTTGGCCTATGCACTGCAGTATGGCTGCGAATGCCTAGCACCTTGTAAGGAATCACTGCAGTTATGATATGGTCAAAGAGAAGCAACAGATATGTATGTATATACTGAACTTTAACAGACAAAAGCAACCAGGACTTTGATGACTGGTTAAGATTACCTTCCTCCCACCATCCCCCTGAATGCAAGGCAATCAGGTTGCAGTATGGGACAAGATTTAGGAAATAATCACATTGGGGAATTTTTTTAAACACTATCAAAGTTGAGTCTTGAAATCTGGTAATATTGCCTTTTGTAACATCCATACTCCCAGTGTCCAGGGGTGAGAAATCTCAGAGTATATAGCAACTATATTCTCCTGGATTTCATTGTATCTTTAGGTTCTTCTAAGTGTTGCTTAAGGCCTGACATGACGGACTGTTTAAGTTTCTATCACCTAGTATATTTGTTCTCTTTTCCCCATATTTAAATATCAACTTACTTTTCATCTTAGGTTTCATTTCCTAGTGACACACTTGACAAGAAAGAATAATTCACGGATAGCGTGATTTGCATTATCACTGTGGGGTGTTCTGTAGAAATTCTTCTTAGAATTTGAAATTTGTCACAGTAGCTTATAATTTTGCAAATTTATATGCTTAGAAAAATGTAACTTTGTTAAAAAAAAAAAAAAAAAGTTCTGGTGCAACCAGATGCTAAATGTCCCTGAATAGAATAAAACCCAAATGCATTTCTTGTCCTGAGTGAGTCTCTAGGAGGTAGAATCACTTTGAGTTTGCCCAGCCTGGTGCCAATGTTTCATAGAGGAGAGATGCCATGATTAAATGCTTTTGCTGTAGGCAGTGGATTCTGCTGAAAACAAGAGGAAAAATGGTAGGAATGGTCAAAAAGTGACAATGAAGTGAAATTTGCTTTTCCTTTTATCACATTATTGGGCTATGGGCTTAACTAAACTAGAACATTGTGAACATTAGTTTGAAATTAGTAAGAAATTGTAATGAGCAATTCACTTACAGGGCACAAATATGCATCTTTTCTTTGGGTTGGACTGACTTGCATTGAAGGCAATAGGAAAGCTGTCATGGATGGGAGTAGGATCAGGCTTTGATAAGGTAGTTAATGCTCATGTTTAGAGGGACACAACCAGTTCTAGTTCAAGAATTTGGACAGGTAGCAAACCCTTATAAAATCTCTGTGCTGTTCAAGTATCATCATTAAAAAGTTGTGTTGGGCTTTTTACAGTCAGCAGCATTACGCTGCGCTTGTACCTTGCCCTTCTAATAAGGAGGTATTTCCAATGAGACAGTCCCTGAAGGCCTATCTAACTTCATTGTCTAAGTGCCATCAATGTGAGGAAAAGATAAATGTGAATTAACAAAAATGTATTTGATCCCTGGTGCTAAGAGTGCAAGAGTGTTTTAAATGAGCTGTGTCTCCCCTGAACCTGCTGTTGTGGTTCAGTGGCAGCATCCATGTCTACCACGTGGGAGACCTGGGCTTGATCCATGCATGCAGCTATATCCATTTGAGATGCTGAATATCTGAACTCATTCTGGCCTTTAGATCCTGTCTCAATGGTCTAAAGTGAGGATGGGGGGTCTGGGTAGCCCCTACTCCTCCCTGGGCGTGTGTCAGGTCTGGATGAACTCTCACTTATACATCATGATCCAGAAGGATTGACACTTGCCTACTACGTGCTCCCTGACCCCAGTTACCATACAGGAGGGGTTTAAAAGATAGCAAATGGCTAATTAGGGGTAGGAATGATATACTTTTAAAAAAATCCATCTATTGGACCACATAGTGTCTATAGTTTGAGGGGTTGTGGTGGAGGGGAGGAGTTTGACAAATGTCAGTTTTTTGCCATATTTTCCCATGTTCTCTGATAACCGTTGACATTCTCCTTCCCATCATCGAGGCCCCTTCTGTCCCTACTATCCTGTGATCTTCACATAAGCAAAGAAGATGGGACCCTCACAGGTTGTCTTGTATGCAGTGAACCAGGCTCAGCCCCTTAAAACCAAGATAGATTTGTCAAATACTGCATTTACTTACTACTTAATAGTAAGCAAAAACAGATAGGTTGGTGATAAAATACCACTGATGGCTAAAGTAGGTGAATGGGGGGCCTGTAGTGAGGCACCACAGTCAGTTTTTCCAGAGGCGTGAAAACCTATGACACTTGGCCTAGGAAAACTGAGCCCAGGTATAGATAGAAGTACTTGAAATTAGTTGAAGGTGCTGCCCTAAATTAGCATGTAAGGAGTAGGTATATGCTGGTTGTGTCCTGTAGTTTCAAAATGTTGCCAAAATTCATCTGATGAGCTGGTGCAAATTATATAAAATCACCCAGAAAAGAGCTGACCAGAACAGCTTTTCTTCATTTGTCTCTAGTGCAAGAGCACTTCTAAGAAAGCATGGGTCCAATCCTCCAACATGCTGACCATTTCCTGTGAGGAAATACAGTCCCAAGTACTCACTGGCATGAGCAATAGGCAAAGCCTTTCAAGATATCACCGGAAATACTCAGCACTGTACATGATTAAGCCTCAAAACAGCTAGATATGTTCCACCTATTCTTTAGCACTTGGCCTAAATGAATCTGGCCCATATAACATAGAAATGATTGGATGTGGCCCATATACTATGGAAATGTGATTTTATTTAAATGGCAATGTAGCCAAGGCCTTAGAATATAGCTTTCCACAGATGTCTTCTGCTTGTGATATAGACTGCTTAAGCTTAAGTTATACTAGTCCTTATTTTTGCCTCAGGGATTGGCTCCTGAGTAGTTGTCCCTTGAGCTGGTGTTGACAGGGGATTACACAGTGGCTGACTATTACAGGGAAGATGCTTTATTCTCCTCTGGAGAAGGAGAACAACCTAAGACAGAAACAAAGCATGACTTTGCAATGAATGTGAATCCTCCATACCCAACCCTTTCCCATAACTTTCAATCAGTTTTCTAAAGATGCATAAACATCCATTAAAATACTGCAAAGAAACCAAGACAAAAAAATCTACATATGACATATGAACTCTGGGTTGCATAGCCTACAAGCAAAAATCACCAAAGTGTAGCCTACATGATTAAAATGACTGAGCCATCATATATTTCCCATTCTTTTTATGGGTGTGGGGGGAAGAAAGAGTGAGGAAAGTTACTCAAATAGCATCTCACACTTCCATTTTGAATATCACAAACCATGGAAACTAGCTGGTTTTAAAACACAAAAACAAAACTTTTGCTTGATTAAAGCCATTCAGTGTCAACAGCAGTTCAGATTCTGTAGTCTTTCATCTCCCCCTTGCTGTAAACTAGCTTTTGTGATTTCCCCCACCCAAGTATAAATATACGGTGCTTACTTTCAGAAGTCAATACAAATGAAGGGTTAAGTGTCAAAACATTGCAAGATGCTATTGATGATATTGTATAAACACGGTTTATATAATGATTTGTAGAATGATACTGGGGTATGCTTTGTATCATCAAGATATTTGGGGTAAAGATCTTTAAGTCAGGCATTCATTAAAAGTAAGGGAAGTACCAGTTAGGCAAGAGCATCAGGTGGAGACCTTTCAGAAAGAGGACATAGAAAATGGAGCAGATGGGGACAGGAAGGCTTCTCTCTCTTCTGCTGAATTTGGCTTCGTACAGCATGTAATTCTGAGTGTTGAAAGCTCTTTGTTTGTCAGAGTATGCAAACTGCTTCAAAGAATTAAGAACGTCAGTGTGATATGCAGACCACATTCTATGCACAGCACTTCTTCCAAGGAGTTTTTTTTCACGTCTTGTCGAGACTCGTATTTGAAAAAGATCAATGTTACATGTTATAATGAACCTAACATTCACTGCAGCTAAAAGCCGATGTGAAATCTTGCTCTATTACAGTCTGCTCCGTCGTGGAAAACTCCACTATAAGGGCTTGCAGGAACTCTGACCTTGTTGCTTTTTATCTCAGCTCATTTGTGTGCTTGACGAGTAAGGGAACAATTTCAAGAAATCGCTCTCCTGTTTCCCTTTTTGTGTGCAGTAGCTGTGCTTTAAGCATCCCTTCTAATGCCTGTTCTCATTTCTCTTTCATTAATAGGTATTTTAAGAACACAGACTTCTCTAGAGTTCTCAATGTCACTAAATAATTGATTCAGCGATACCATTATTTTACATTCTTAGACATTTCATAGAGAAAAACAGGTAGTTCTCTGCTGCCACAGTAACGTGAAGGGCACTGACTCAAAACCAGCATCTTCATTCCCCACCTTTGAGACCCTAGCTCCTCTTCTAGCAGAGGGGTTTATTCTACTAAGCATTACCCTTGTGGGTCTGTGTTGAGCTGGCAGGTAATGAGGGCTCTCCTAGCTCAATCCTATGCTTCCTTAGGGATGAGCAGTCATTCCTGGAGCTGATTTTAGTAGAGTGAGGATTATACTGCACTGTAACTTTTTTGCACTCCTATAATGCCTTCCATTCAAGGATCTTAAAGTGCTTTAACAATGTGAACACTCATGCATTAGCCCTCCCCACAACCTTGTGACAGGGACAGATAGTATGAACACCATCATTGTATATATGGGAAACTGAGGCCCAAAGAGGGTCACCCAAATGTGCCTAGGAAAAGGAAATAAGATTCATTTTTAAGACTCCTACTCCTATTAGGACTGCAGGCAAGGCTGAAGTGGTTGATAGCTTCTGCTCATAGGCACCAAACTCAAAATAGGTGCATTTTTCTAAACTAGAAAAAATAAATGACATGAAAATTAGCAAGGATAATTTTCCTCTTCCCCCCTCAAGAATAGAAGCTGAGTGACTTGAAGTTACAAGACTCATTTTGCTTTTCAGAGCTTTTGCTTGTGATTCTGAACTAAAACATTAACTGAAATCAAGGGAAAGATTTCATTGAAATCATTGGGGTTTAAAAAGAGACCTACTGACTTGCATGGGGGAGCTAGAGCAGAGACCATCCAAGGCACAATGACAACCCAGTGAAAGCTGTAGACTGTGAAGCCTGTCCCCAGATGGGCTTACAAACAAATGTCTCTAGTAAAAATTAGTCTAGGCTGGGAATAAACATGAAGTCTTCCATCCATCTCTGCTGGGGAAATCTCTATGGAGCTACCTTGTGCTAGCTCTGAAGCACAACTAGCGGGTCCAAAAAGAACTCATTTAAGAGGTGAGCGTGTGAAGCATCAAGAGAATGAGAGCAATGTTTGTAGAGGGAAGCAGCTTCATTGTATGTTATATTTGGGTACGTGTTTGGCCTGCTTCAAATAGGAAGCTTTGCAAATAATACTGTTCTGTCACCTGTGCAAATATAATCCCAGTCACCGTGCTGTTTAATGTGTTCCTCCTTGTCGGGGCCTTGCCCATACCACTCCATTTTTGTTTTGTTCACAGAATAAGTGAAAACTAGAGATAGAAAAAGCCCTGCTAGGTTGTCTTGTCCCTGGGATATTTAAAACTCAGCTCTGCTTTAACCAATCAATAGGGTTTTTCCACTTCTCTTGGGAGACTGTTCTGTAGCCTAGTAGATCTCACCATTAGAAGCTTTTCCTGATACTGTACATTTTTCTTTGCTTAATTTCACCCTCTTCTATACCCGTGCATCATGTTGAATCACCTGTTCTTGGCCTACACCTGTCTATGTAGATGGTCACTCTGGAAAGAGAAATGATAGAGACAGAGTTGGCCTTCTCTCTATTTTTTTAAATGTTCTCTAAGTAAAACAGGGTATTGTTTTCCAAGGCTATACTTAAAGCAATCACTGTGAGAGTATTGCCTGCTTAGCCCCACTTGTGCTGCCTATTGGGTTCAGGTGGACCCAAGACAAAGATATCAGAGGTACCACACCCACAAATACACTTAGCATGGCTGCAGAATTTACCATAAATGTGATTTTTCTGCCAGATGGGACCTTGACATCTTCTGTTCTGCCCTCATACACTCCCCAGTGACCCTATTGAAACTGTTAGGTGTCATAACACGGCCTTAAATGGTAATATATTTGTCTCACTCTTATGAAATAATAACTGCTTGTATTAGATGTCAAGGTGGTTCATACAATGTGTAGTGTGCAAAGCCATCAAACTATAAACACAGTCCTCTGCAGGAGCACTCCTTAAATGTTACTGCAGACATGACCCTTTGTTAATATGTATGGGATCTGGAAGGACAACCTAGGTGTAATAGAGAAGACATCCTTACCCTTTGAGCCTGCTGGTTGAGGCCTGAATGGAACTAGTGGAGTGAACAAAGAAAGATAACAAGGAGTTTGGGATCCAGGCTCCCTTGACTATCGAACCTTTGTGGGAAGAAGCTGAGAGATACTCAAAGCTGTGTCAGGTCCTAGACAAACCGGGGACTCTAGACAGAGCCACAGGCAGAAAAACAAGCTTGCGCAGCATGAGGCCTCAGGAGGGGTAAGGATGGGAAGTGTTCCCAGAATATTAAGACCCTTAAAAAAAATGAAGTGAAATACTTTTACCTCAGCCAGTTGTTCTTGGATAGGCACATCTGTTGGAAGCAAAGTAGTTAAATCTGTGTTCACTGATCTCAAAAGACCTAGGGAGAAAATAAGGATAGAGCCCAGGTCAACTAGGTTCCTCTTCCCAAATCCCATCCCACTCCCTCTTAGAGTAACACTGTGGTATTGTCCTCCAATTACTCTCTGTCAAAGCATGTACAAAAAGTGAAGAGCTCAAGCCTCACCACAAACTCAAAAAAAATTGCTTTTATTTGATGGAAACAAGATGCAAGCGGCTGATCATTCAGTTGGAATTAATAGTATTAATACAATTAATAATTATATTTCATTCTTCACTTTACCAGCTAACTTTGTATCTGGTATGTTGAATTCAGAGGCAAAACAATTTAACCAAGTGGAAGAAAGTTGAATACAAAAGAAAAAAGACATAGCGGTTAAAAACAGGTGTCTGATTTTCCCCTGGGACAAACCTTTTATCCTGGGATCCTAGAGACTGACAAGCCCATTTGTCCTATCTTACTTCCCTGTGAAGTATCCAAATTAACATTTTGCCCCAGGACAGCCTGCACTTGTTCGACTGCCATTCAAGCTGTGTGTGTAAAACAACAGACTGCTCTAGTGCGAGTCAAAGCCTGGGACAACCAGCTGTGGGATAATCCCGGCATCTGGATTTAGCAAAAGTTAGGCCAAACATTCCCATGATGTAATACCATTGAGGTCAGTGATAAAATTGGACCACAAATAAATCTGAGCCAGCATATGGCGAGATCATCAATGGACTCTAGAAATAATGAACAAGAAACTAACAGAAAAGCACATTGGCAAATATCAGATGAAAGGATTAAAGGCTGGAAACTCAAAGGGAGAGTTTCCAGCTGTTCTGCTCCAATGGCTGCCCTTCTAATATGCAGGATGGCTCACTTCTATTCTTGGTTTCATTTAAATAAAAATCCAGGGAAGTTATAGCCTTCAGCACAGTCAGTGCAGCTGCTCTAGCTATAGAAAAGTCATCAGTGGTGTCACTGTATGCCTCTGCTTGTACTGCAAAAGTTCAGTGATCATAGACGTCAGAGCCTCTGGGTAGTTTGGAGATAGCTGGTAAAAGAAACAGCAGGACTAGCAGGAACAGTAGAGACGGCTACAGTTCTTTACCAGTATTTTTTTTAAGCTGTGCAACTTGCATTCCATCAAATGAAGTGATTGTAGAGCACGCAAGGATAGTACGTAGCAAATGCTTTCAAAACACCACTACTGTCAAGCTCCGCTCACTGCACTCAAACAATTGCAATTTGGTACAAAACTTCCCCAAACTAAAGATTTCAGTTTGGAAATGTAAACATCACAGAGTAAAACCCACGGTGCCATTTATTTTCTTCTTTTGTTTAGAAACTTCTTGGAGCAATTTTATAATCGATACCGTCTTTCAGGAAATGCATGTATGTGGCCCTGCTTCAGGATAAGGTCCACAGCAGTATTTCTGGGTTGGGGGTGGGGAACTCCTTTTGTGACACTGGTTTTTGTTCTACACAAAGGCACGCTTGCAATAAATTTTTACAAGTTTTGTACACCATGGGCTAAATTCTGAGTTCCAAAAATGTGATGTGTGGCAACAACAACAAACTGGATTTATAGTATCACTCTGATATCTTGTCATGTGATTTTATTTCTTCAACAAAGTTTGTTTACAATCAACAACTTTGAAATACAGTCAAATATATTACTGGTTGCCTCTCGCTGCCTCGTTCTTTCCTGGAGTGGGGGATGTGAAAGGATGTCAAGAGACTCCCATTGGGCATGTTCTGTTTCCTCACTTTAAAATGATAATGAGCCAAAATTTGAAAGCCTTATACAATTTTTACTTGGGTGAAATGTTATTGGGAGCTTTACTTGAAACAACCAAATGCTAGAGGTCTGTATACACATCACACCCTTTGTCCTGGAAAAGGTCCTCAGGCCCAATGGTATTATCTCACACCATCCCCAAGGGCTTTCCATGACATCAGTGACCTGATCAGTGTGTGGAGTGGGAAGAAGGTTGCACACATTTTTCTTACACCAGTCATATAGGCTTCCTTCTTGAAAGATAACAGGTCCCTATCTTCACAGATATGTTACAGATACTATCCCCCTATGAAGATGAGGGTTTATGAGCTGTGTGTGTGTACATGTATATATGTGTGTGTAAAACATGCCTTAGCAAACAGCGCTGTGGGAGTGCTAATGAGTTTCAGCTGATTGGAGGAGCAGCAAAGCTGAGTGACTTGTCTTCAAGTCAGCAACTCACTGTGAACCAAGCAAATTGCAAACCAACCAGATAGGAATGATCCAGGCTCCACTGTAGCATCTTGGTGATCCTTCCTTGCACCAGTCATCTATGTTATCTTTCAGTGGTGCACCGGTGAGCCTCACATCAGCATGTCTTGAGATGCCGAAGAGAAAAAGGAATCAATGGGTGCATCTGCACGTTCGTTAATGAATTGTAATTAGGGTGCATTAAGTTTAGTACCTGCAGTTACAGGTACTAACATAATGTGATGTAATTAGCACTACTGCACTTTAGCACCAGCACACTTTGGTGATGTTAATGCACAGTAGACTAATTC